AGTGTACTAATTCAAAATAGAAAATTATAAAGTATCATTGTATCGCTTTAGCTATTACTATCAATATTGAAGATTATACTACAAAGGAAAAACCAAAAACATACCTTAACTGCCACAAGAAACAAGTCAAGTCAGAAGATGCCATTCGTAATAACTAATGGTAAGCGGTATTACTTTCATTAATTCTTCAATGTTTTTCATAATAATACTTTTGAATATGTACAATATATACAAGTTATAATTCATCAAGCATGTTTGTATTTAATAATGCATGATTGTGCTTGTGGTATTCTATCTATGCTAATTTTCTAAATGTTAAGGAACGTCTTACGATGTGAATGGCACACTAACAAGAGGAATAAAAGCATTCTACCTTACCTTTATTCCTTACATTTATATTTAATAGTTTAGTGCTGTTTTTCTTTTTGTTTGGGACTTGAAATCTTACAATCTAATATAATGCATAAGAAATAAGAGAAAATGTACAAGTTATTTTTTCAAAAAAACCATTATATTTACAATAATTTTCGCACTCATAATTAGTTAAAACACGAAATTCATTGCCATTTGCCTTTTTTCAAGCAACTCGTTAAACTTACCATAACAGGGGATAATTGAGAATGCACATTTTCACAAAATATATTCCACCACAATTGTAATAATGGTTGCAAATGTGTAGCCTCCATTGGTGGTTGAACAATACCAGTTAAAGTATCAAAATACTGTAACCAAGGTTTGGTGATACCAATGAAATGAATTATCCTGACATCATCTCCAAACCTAATAAATAAGAATATTTATAATCATCTTTTTTTTTCATAGCACGTACGGATGAAGTGAAGTTGCAATTCGTGTGCACGACGACACAAAGCATAAAGTTAATATAAAGTTTCTTACTGTTTGAATGCAGGAAGGTAGGAATATGCAGCGGTGGAACACATGTTATATATAAATGGTAGATGTTTCGAAATATCTTTGTGGGCCCAGTCACTGAAATACATGTTCAATAAACCCTGATCACCGCCATCGAACGAACCTTTAGCAGCGGCAAACGCGGTGATGGATGCAAAAGTTTGTTGAGATGGTTTGTATACAAAAACACCAGAATTAAAGCAGTCGGGCCAGCCTACATCGGGGGCAGCAGACAATTCTTCTCTTTCAAATAACTCATCACAATTTCTGACCACCTAACGTACATATACACATTAACTATATTCAATTGGTAATTCGAAATCTCTGATCGAATATCTTTGTTAATTGTCCACAACACTTACAAGCGTGTCTGCATCAAGAAAGACGCATTTATCAAACTGTGTCAATCTCCAGCAATGAAGTTTTGTAAATGTAATACCCAATTCTGGTCTAGCTAATAGTGCCAAATTAGCTTCATCTTTAGAATCGAGTACATTCACTTCCATTACTACAGAAAAGACGGCTGATAATTTTTCCCTGTATCGACGAGTATAAAGTGACGATTATTCATCTATGCCTTCCATTGTTTTAGAAGATATTGTAATTAATTGCCCACCTCATTACTTCCGTTACTCCAGGAGTAACCAAGACAGCCAATTCATACTTGGTACCAACTCGGCGTAGAGAGTGTGCCAAAACTAATGCTCCCAAAGAGTAGGCATCATTGGTGGCTAATGTAACCCATGCATATCCTAAAAATAACATAATCTGCTACTTAGTAATCATATTAATTACTAACACATTATAGATCGTACATTAAGTTTAATGATATAAATTATTTATAGCAGAAACAATTAAGTCAGAACTAGTGAACATGCTGCAAGATGAAATTGCATGTTCAAATAGTAGGGCATTATTGAAAAATATGAATAATTTATTATTACAAGTGTGAGAAACAAAAAAAAGTCGCTTAATTGTTTGACATTTCAACACACGTGTTTATAAACCGTTTGCATATTAATCCCTCATTATTCGATAACACTTTACCGTATCATCGTGCATATGAATTGATAAGACGTCTCCTGTGAGTGAGATTCACTTTGCAGACATTCAAAGTTTAGATTGATTTCTGTATTGTATTGTCTCTGGTGTTACATCATTGCCTCGAATCAAGTGGGGAATGCATTTTTCTTTCAGTATAAGTAGCTTCGGAAAGATAACACTATGAACTCTGCCGGTGCCATTGACTTTACTTCGATACGCTTATCGCATTAATGATTACGTAAATCCAAAAACAGTTTGACAATTGTATAACATTAAACAACGTTCCATATAATTCCATAAAATGTCTAATAGACAAGAATAGGATTTAATAGATCAAATATTCGTCGGCTAGTATAAGTATAAATTAATCGTTTCATCCAACTTCTAGGAAAAAAGAAGATAGGGAGTCGTAGGTCACTTCAAGGTCACGGCACCCGTATGTACCAAGAGAGAACAGTATTGTTGTTGTTGTTGTTGTTGTTGTTATTGTTTTATTCGTTTCGAATTGGAAAACCGATAAAAATAGAAGCAAGATTTGCGGATCTAAATACGCGCAAACCTAGGTGCGTCGTTTCTCGAGGACAAAGAAATTCATCAGATTTTATTTATAACGCACATCCTATTTCTAATTCGCGAGTGTCATCAGAAACTTCGCTTGCTACCCATGGCCCAGAATCGTCGGAATATTGGCTCTAGTTCTCCTGGATAAAACTTTATTTTTAGACATTATCTGTATTCACAGTTGCTTATATCTTCTACAAAAGAAAGAAAAAAAAGGGAAAGAAGTCGTCTAAGCGGCAAAATAAAATTCTGTATAACGATAATTGCGCTTATCAGCTCGACGAGTAGTTAGCTGGTTTACGGTCCACGTACAAGCCAAAAATGACTCTTCGAATTATTGGAGCACCCGTGACCCCATTTCATCTTCGCGTTACATTTTCGGGATAATTATTTTACCAATATTAGAGATAACCGCGACTTTGCCAGATAACATTGAAGCCGAGATAGGAACGAGAAATACCCATTGTTCATTACTCTATCGTATTAACATTGACAAAATTAATGAAACCATCCGTGCTAACACGTCAAGTTAGATCATGCACGAGAAAACATTTCATTCGGTTCAATCGATGATCAGCGACTAATAGAAAACAAGCATACATAAGATTTAATTATACTTATCACTAGAATATCCATCCTATTTTCTAATATCTCTCGCGACGAACAGATGAAAGTTTATCAAAAACGCCGTTTTCCCAGATTCTGGTCCGGTCAAAACTACGTTCAGTTTCAAACCGATCGGGTCACAGCGTAAAAACGGCATGACAGGTTTTATCAATTTTCTTTAGAATCTGCTACGCAATACTCGGGGCTTTACGAAATGCCGTGTAATCGGGTCACATGTGACAATTCTAGAGCTATCCCATGTAGTCTCGAGCCTTGAAAATGTACCGTTCACGTTTCTGGAATGGTCGCGTTCTACGTATCGACATTGAATGGGGTATTAAGTTTCGTCGCGTTAGGTGCACAAGTGATGTGCACGCAAGTGATTGTTGCCGCGTGCAGCCGGCCACGGGCATAGGGCCGACCGGCAAGAATCATTCGAGCACCGTGTACAGCGCGTGACATGAAATCGGGCCCGGCGAGGGGAGGCTGGCTTCGTTTCACGCTCCTCCTTTCTTCACCTTCCGCCGCAACCTTCTAATTGTTACAGCCCGAATACATTCTTCGTTTCCATACGTTTCATTCGAATAGAAATCATCCTAGAGCCATCCTCCTCTTGCCTGTTCCTGTTCTATCTACAGTCAATCGACGAATTATCTTCGTCGCTGCTCGAATATTCGAAGCGCTCCCGAATTTTTCCGAATGTTTCTCCCTAGACACATATTATACGGTTTGGTTACTAACACGCGAATAAACAATGTTCTTCGTCACCTTTCACGGTATATCCTATTCTACTCGAATACAATTGTCTACCTATAACAAAATTACGTTGTCGCCAATGACCAAGACGTCGATGCGATATTAAACAACGGAGAAGAAACAACATTACCTAATTCCACAAACTCGTTTAAGACTCATTTGTTAGCTCTTTAAGGCTCGTTTGTTAGCACGAGAATTCACAAGTTAGCCGGCAATTAATCATCGGTTTAATTTTGTAGCGGCGCGCACGTAAAGGCAGCAACCGTCGCGCCACTATCAGCAGACGCGCTTATCAATACGTTCGATGCCTGACGAAATTCTAGATTTCCGGTAGGGGATTTGGAGACTGACCCGAACGCTATGTTACGACATATAATAATCCTATCCCCCTATCGGGTATGGTAAATTCTTTTTGGCCCGGCGAGGAATGCGCAGAAAAAAATATAAAAATTTGATCGATGTTAGAAAGGCAAGTTTCGGACGTTTCTCATCATGGCTTTCGCCAAACTACGAAGAGAGCTTCTTAACGCACTATTGTATGTATGATTGCGATCATATGCGAGATGATGGTTACCGCAAAAATTTCAGAAGGATTAATAAAATGGGTACATCTCGGAATTTTGCAATGTAAGTTGATGTTGCGCCCGCGGTAAAAGTAATCTAATAAGGAAACTTCTGTTTCGTTGACTATGTAACGAATCGTTGACCGATTGTAATACTCGTTAAACTACCGAATAAACGAACCTTTTTTTATTCCAGTAGCCTAGCACTGATATAAAAAAGAGAAATGAGCATCGAAACTTGAACACGTACCGCAAGGGACACGGTGCATTCTCAACCCTTCGTGCTCGAGAGTCGACTTTCAGTTGCCATTTGATTCAACATAAAGAAATTATGAAACATAAAATTCTATATTAAATTTCGTATATGGTAATTCCTTCTGAAACGGTTGGATTTCATTTAGATTGTCATTTAGATTTTTGAGGTGTGGTAACATCTTTTTGCAACCTCCTATATTTACTTTCATAAATATTTGTTAGATATTAATGATATTTATGATGCAAAAGTTTGGTAATGTAATAATTAGGATTGTCATATTATTAATTAGAATAATATGACGTACAATGTAATAATAATTTCTAAGTAACGTAACAATTCACGATGAACATTTATAATTGAAAAACACTGTCGAACGCGAAGGGTTAGTTGTCCATATCTTACAGCCGAACATCGGCGTCGTCGGCGGGGTTCTCGGCTCGCGAGTCCGCAATTAGTACGGCGAGAGGAATTTCAGAGCGTCTAATTTGTATACGGTTAGGTCGGTTTAGATCGGGGACCGACAAGAATTAATACCCGTTATCGAATCACTTGATACCATCGCGATGTATCGACGCGACAACCTACAACTGTTCGAACAATCCTAGAATTCTTGTCCCCTAATCTGTCGAGTTCTCCATCAAGTGGGCGGCGTATATACGACATTGTTATTAAGATTTGTTTTCGTCTATTATTAAGACCCGCATTACGCGGTACGGCGCAGCGTGGCTGCTAACGGATGCATCGAAAGCGCATGGTAAAATTAAATGCAACAAATCCAAAGGAACTGCAGTGAGTCACGTCTATAGAAAGAAGGGAGGGACGAGCCCAGGAAGAGAATAGATGCAAGGGGAAAGCTCGGATTTCTGCTACCGGTCTTCACCGGAACACAACCCGTTCAGTCATGTCGATCCTAGACGACGAATTAACTTCTATCAGAAATACGATCCCGTCGGTATTGTGCGATCCCAGAAGCTGTCTCGAATCGTTACATTGACTCCGGAGGTATTAACCCTTGGCACTCGAAAGTGCCAATTAGAGTTTACTATTTAAATTTAATCATTAATTGTAGTACGTTATTTTAATTTGTTTTAATCGAATTAGTAAAACATGTTGCCAATTAAAATTAATTGGATCTGATCAGTATAAATCGATTCAATTAAAATGATTTAGTGAAGTGATTAATAATTAATTATTACTTGATTTAATATGTAACATTCAACTTTGTATAACGCATCGTGAGTTTCAGTTTCAACAAACATCGTCTATTACTCGTCAGGAAATACTGAATATTTCTGGCGAAAAACCCTCGAGTGCAAAGGGCTCGTCATCCCGTAATTAACGGCGTTTCTCGCGCCATTCGCGGTATACCAAAACGTGAAACGGCCGTCGAACTATATATTCGTCGACTTCCAGAAACTCGGAAACGGGAATCGGATCGATTCGGCTTACACAATAGAAGACGTGATCGCGAAATCTTCTATTTAATGCCATGGAAGCCCAGATGCCCCAATTAGAAATTCACGTGCAAGTCGAATGTCTAATTCCACGATAACATAGGGAAGATAAGACGAGTCGAAACCCGGGGATCCGTGTGCTCCGGCCCAAAAAGTCGCGACGGACTCTCGTTTGTTTACTTCGAAAATCGTATTCGTCGACTGGCCAACGACGCGGGCCAGGTTTAACCTCTTGCGTTACAATGTCGAGCTAGACTCTCCATGAGGTTCTAGTGGACAACTGCATAGTGACAAACCATACTCATCATGCATTTAATTTCTATCTTGGATTCTTTCTTCATTTTAATATTCCACGAGGAATTACAGTTATATTTAAAGTAATAACATACTTTTAATTCACAAAATATATGAAGGTCAAGATGAAATACGTTGTTTCATTTCTAACACTTTATATTACACAGTGATTTATTCAAATTAATATTAGAACTACCGATCACTTAAACTGACTTTTACAAATTTCTTTATAAAAACCATAAGCGTGCGTTTATTGAGATTTCAATTGATCTGTATTTCAGTTTTGCTATTACTGAATTAATTCCATTAATAATTTTTCGTAGAAGTATCTGTATCTTTTCAGTATCGTAAAAGAGGAAATCAGAAATACGTCATTCTGACCCTGGTAGTTCTAGTGTTAAATGGTGTTTTATTACAAAATTTTTCATAATTATATCGAAGTGGTAAGGGTTAATGCGCTTCGATCGGTTCTATTGAAAGGTAAAGGTTGAAGTTTTGGACGCCGCCGATGTTACGGGACAGGGAAATTTTTGGCAGAGAGAAAACCGTTCTCGCGCGTCTGATATTTTCATCGCAGCGGCGTGGCGGCGCGATGAAAGGGCGGGAGGGAGAAGGAGGAGCAAAAAGGAAAAGAAGAGGAAAAAACACTAAAACATTTATCTTGGCTATGAGAAACGCGGCGCTCGGCTTCACTCGTATATTGTAACACGCAGACGAAACCCGAGAGGCAGAGTGCCGTTGTGCCACACAGGTTTATATTTATACAAGCCGTCCAGCTTATAATAGCAACCGGGCCTAGGCGTTTGTACAAAATGCATTCATACACTCTTGCCTTAGGTCAAGCACTTGTCGGCCAAGCCTGACGAGGTTTCCTTATGCGTTCCGTGCCTCCAACGTATATCGTCTGCGAATCGACACTTTCTCCGCATACTAGAAGAGTGAATAACCATCGCCACCCTTTGCCCACAGCGGGATGAACAACGAGCTGATCGTTTCTAGATGGAACTTCCGGAGAAAAACTAACGGAAGTAACTTCTCGAGTCTACCAGTTACAAGATATCAACCCTTTCCACTCGAAAGAATGAATTTTCACTAAACGACCTCGCGATACATCCGGTATTTGTATTTCGTAACCTGAAACTGCTGAAGTGCCCAAACCTTTTGCACTCGAAAGTTCGCTACGTGTATTTATAATTTTTTGGCGAAACGTTAATTAAATGTTTAACTCTACTAAGTAGACTAACATACGAATCGGAGGATAGAACTGTTCTGTTTCAATATTTCATGTCTAATTACATTGTACAAAATATGATGTTGAACATCGAATTTTCGAACTTCACTGTATCGAATGAAACGGCGACTGTTAGACTGAGTCGCGTCTGGAGTACAAAGGGTTGACGCTATTATCTTTCTTTTACTAAGGATCTCTTTGGTCTTCGTTTATGAAGAAGAAGAATAAGAATCATTTTCGACTCAGTGAAGATACATATATGAGTTAGGTACAGATAAGGTCGTTTAGCCTGGCTCGTTAGTCTCTCTAGAAATAATTCTGTCCCTTTTTCCTACGCAACGCGAATATTTGCAAAACAGAGAGTACAAATTTCGAAATTTCCGGCAGAAATGTCAGTGACGAGAGTAAATACGCCGGCATTTGCGAGTTCGCGTTCTATCGTGCCAAAGAACTCGGATTTAAAGCTAATGCCGAGGACGCTAGAACTGGGAAGCATCAGGAGCCTGTCCACTCGAGATGCGTTTCAAACGAGATACGCGTTAAGAGTTAAATTTACCACTTAGAGGATTTTATTCGACGCGTTAATGTAAACACACGTTCCAATGTTTACACTACATTCTGGCAAGGTCGGAATCTATTTTCTAATGAAACGGAAGCTGCGTCGCGCGATCCGAGATTTGTTACGGCGCTTAGTTTTTCTCAAGCGTATCCGATCTCACGGCGAGCCGTTGCCAGATCCGTTTTAATTCCGGTGCCGTGACTTGAAAATTTACTTCCCGGTTACGAGACAGGCGAGCGTCAATCGGGGATTACGAGGAACGGTGTCGATCCGCGTGACACTGATCGGTTCGTATCTCATTCGCTGAATCGTCCGTCGACACACGATCGTCTCGGGGATGGTCCCTCGGGTTCCCCCGGCGAATGAAGATCGATTCACGGGAACCCGATCCGCAATTAGCCTCTCCGCACCTATTCCGAGACGATCGTGGCACGGAGGCCAGACAACCGGCCAATAAAAAGAACAGCTGCATTCCCGCGTTTAATTAGAAATGCGAGTTCTATTAGGGGACACCGGGTGCGCGCGGTCGTGCTCGTCGTTCGTTCGGCTAGACGAACATCGGAAACTAGAATTCCCGAGTTCCAACGCGGGACGAAGGTCAAGACTGAGCGCACATAAAAATAGTACCCGAGCTATACCGCGTCAATCGAGGTACAATGAACTTAACAATACGAGCTTCCGTTTAACGTAACATTAACTCTGGCTGCTCCCAGCGCTTTTTATTCGGGGAACTCGACTGTGCTGAACACGCGGATCATATCGAGCTACCTATCGTAGGGTACCGTAGTTTTTTCTGTTTTTAGTCAAATATATATGTTTGGTCCTTTGCGGTCTTATATCGGAACGAACTCAACATTTTGTTTCATTACGATATTCGCTTCAACAATTTTTATTGTAATTACTTTGTTATATCGTGATTGTGTTTGTACAATAATAGTCGAAGAGCTATATTGAATTGTAAGCGAATTAGATAACGTCGATCTCCAGAATGAGAACGAACACATCGAATACGAAGAAGAGATGACAACGTGGTTATATTGGAAAAGATTAAATGTAACCGTAGCAATGATAAAAACGTGAACACGTAATGAAATAAAGAAAGAGAAACGCAGAATGTAATGCAATATGGTGCTCAAAGTTTGCTAGATATTTTTTCAGCTGTTAACACTTCGACTGCCACGGCGGTCACCGATGACCGGAGATTTTGAATTATAAGAAAATAATTATGACTTGGAAAATAATTGATTTCGAATACAAATTTTCGGTAACGTAAATAACTAGATAATAGGGTAATATAAGAATTTTCATATCAAAGAATTAATAATTCTTGCTTTGTATTTTTGCTATAGGAAGGATAAGTGATACGTAATACGCTGGTGTTTTTTGTGGCAGTCAACGTGTTAAAGAAAATATAGCAGCATTCAAGAAGAACAGAAGGAATACTTCATATAATAGATACTTCAGTCATTTAACAGTCTAACAGTGACTAACTTGTACAATCCTTTAATTACTTTGATAAGTATACGTAACGCGGAATGATGTACCATACATGTACCATTACCATTTCTTTAATCACGAGTGTTAAGTAAACATTGTATTTAAAGGAAAAGCAAAGAAAAAAAGGTCCATTCATATTTTTTCGGGTAAAAATTTCAAGTCTCGTTCCTGCAGAACAAGTAATCCGAAACTTCCGAACGCCAGTGTATGTACAATCTCCTCTCCGCACGCCGTGCAATTATCTGAAATACGACGATTAAAGTACAAGAAAAAAGTGTGACAAGGAGAATTACTTCAAGAACGTCGAATTTCTTTTTCTTTTATTCTTCCTTTTCGAAACGCGTAGATTCCCTCTTGCATATCTCGCTGCTGTTACATCATCGGCCAGCCTCGGCCAATAAATATAAATTAATATCGTCGCAGTTACGTTAATTTCTGTTTAGGGAAATCTTAAATTAAGTAACATCAGTTACGTGTAATTACTTAAAAGTGACGATAAGTGGAGCACGGATATTTATGCAAATTAACATTTTTATACGGCGATACGCGAAACAAGGACAATTATACATTTCTTCTTTCAACGGTCTCATTAGCGCAGGCATATACAAATGTCTCGTTCCATTGAAATTTTATCGGCACCGTTGAATAAACGCGGTGCCATTAATCGTACCCGTTTGTGTTAACAATTGCACCAGGAACACGTACCAGACCTGTATCTAGGCGGATTAACATTTTCATTGTGCATGCTGATTTTCAAATATATTTGTCTCGCAAGAGGAAGATGTCCGACGAGTGCGGGAAAATTTTAACGAAGAAGCAATTTTACCACACGTGCGAAATAAATATAGAGAAGTGGATGGGGTTTGGCAGAGAGCC